CACCTCACAAGAGGCGGAATCTACGGCAAGCTTTGTTATGCAGAAGACTAGCGAGGGGACTGTTTAGCAAGCCAAAAGACAGCTAGAAGGGAGGCTCACGACCACAAGATAGAAACTTGCAAATTTATGTCAGGGAGTACTACGATGGTTGGATGATCAACGCCATTACTTGTTCTTAGCACAGATGCGTGAGGTACGCCCCAGTGTTAGCCAATGTAAGTTAACAAGCGTTAACAAGCCTACTCTTTGCAAGTGGGGAAACAATTGAGGGAAGCTCATCAACTCACCGACTGTCATTGTAGTCATACCAGGAGTTCCGATAGTGATGTCTGCATATGGCCGTGTAATGTCCGGCGTAAACACTTCCTGAGTGATTGGAGACCGCGTACAAATTATATCGGGCATACCGCTGTTGACCTGTGAATGTATGAACAAAACCAAAGCGGGTAAGCCAAGTAACCTCAAGCGCTTCAACAGCCGTAGCTGTAGGTTGAATAGCGGATCAATGGAGGAGATATATCAATTGTATCCCGATTTTATGTTATTGCGGTCACTTTCCATGACAATAAAGTCAGCCCTGCGCTGTGATTTCTAGTTCGTGCAAACAACAAAATTCTACGAGTAGGTAGACTGACAAAGAGTAGGGTGTTCAAAATGAGAGACACTCGTCCCACCATTCAACATCCACTGTTCTAAATACGTGGTTTTCGGTGCCAAATGGTTGATGTGATTAGTTTTTGTAGTTAAAACTTACTGAACCGGTAGTTTCCGATGCATTTAGCTACTCTCCGAAAGTGGGCATGAGTCCAATCTGTTTTTGGCCCCTCTGGATGTGTTAGCTCATTCAATGACACAGAATAGTCGTGATTTAAGATATCTCCCAAACGTATTGTTGCCAAAATTCTGACCAACTTCGAAAGCCCACTCACTATAAACGAACATCCATAGGTCTATTAGTGGCTTAAGATGATCGATAAGGCTACTCGAGGTAAGAGAAACAGAAATGGTCAGTTGAGCAATTCTCTGTGTAAATTAATTGAATCGGGACGGAAAATGATCAGATTAAGACAATTAGAAAAGTTTAACCTCATTTTGGTGCCATAAAGAACGAAAGCAAAGGAGGTGACTCACAGCTCGGGGAGGCGAATTCCGACAGATTCAGATCGTTGAGAGGATAGTCCACAAGAACGGACATTTTGGACCGGAAACGTTCACCAGAAAAACGTTTTAAATCTATTCCGGAGTCAAATATTTAGCAACAGTTGGGCTGGCGAAAAACACATCATGAACGAAATGACCGTTCACGTAATAGACACAGATCTGATCTCTTGGATATCTTCTGCCACCAGAAGGATAGGTTACCCGAGAACCATTTAGGAATAAAATAACGATTATGTAAAGCATTAAGATGAAGCAAGCGAAGGCAAAAAGTTTCTTCCAGTGTGAACCGTTGGTAAATCAACACCTTTTTTTTACATACTTCGTTTTTGTTCAACTTAGGGCGCCTAAATTTGGAGAGTGCGCCAACAGTCATGTTGTATCGTGGGTGGTCGCCTGTTAATTACGCTTGAACTGAGCCTGTCAGACTACGCGGTAAGGAGAAGACAGAAGAATCTGGAACATGGCTATATTACCAGGCGTAAATGCACGGGATAGCTGAATAGCCAAATATGGTCATGCCAATGGCGACCACTGGCCGCATACTGCTAAGACGTGCTCGATAAGTTCCGTTCACGCAGCTCCTATCCGGAACGTGTGGTACCGATGGTGATCTTAGGGACGTGTCGTTCTAAGCACGCATACGTTTCGTGTCTGAACGCTTCCTGACAGGCCGCGCCCACTGAATGAATGTACGATGCTTTCCTTATACACAGAAAATAACGCTAATAAAACATCCACTGTCGTGTTGAGTGCATGCAAAACGCTTATAAAGCTGATTCAGTAACCGAAAGAGCTGCACTCTGCACAGCGCTGAAAATGCACTTGGATCACTACTTTTCTGGATATTCTCCGCTATCGCTCAACCAGGAACCTACAAACCATTGCTCACTGAATCAATGAGCGGTCCCAGCCCTTAAACATCGTATTCCGCCCAGTAGGCTGTTGGGCCAGCTCAGGAGTGTAAAAAGGACGCACCCCGGAGTATCGACGTCTTGTACAATTCAACACCAAGCAATGACGTTTTTGCATATTCTCTGTACAATTGTGTCGATGTTTCGTCCTGCAATTCAACTCTACATTCCCTGCCATTCTCTTCACATCGTTAAAAGGTTCCGTGTGCACACCACAGTTTACTAGCCAAGCAAGAGGAGAGGCATCACAGTCAGAGGTGTTTCCAAATCGAGATCATCAGAGACAACAACATTGGTGTTGATACTGATGCTTCAATTTCGTATAACCACAAAGTTCAAAGCAGGAAGAAGGGAAAAGGGTGGTTGAGGGAGTGACCTGGTGCTGGCCTACTGCAGGCATTCTGAGGCGGACGTATTTCCAAGCCCTCAATCAGATAACCTGAGAAGAAATTGACAGCCTGAATTTCGCCATTTCCTACAGCTTCTCCAGCCAAGTTCATCAGGTCACGAGGATCCCATCCCGAGAGGCGGACCGCACCAACAACACCCAAACTCTTAGTAGCCTAACACATCCTGAGTTCAAGTCAGTTTCGTGGTTTGCGTCATTCTTGAGCACAACACTCGTGCTGGTAGACGATGTCTCGACACCGTAAGTGACGTTTCTGGGTGTTTTTTCTGGTGACTGAAGTACCTGCTGCGAACACCTGTTTACAAAAGTGGAGTTTCTGTTGTGAGGTTTTGCGGGATACGCACTGTTCATATTCACACCACTGTCGTTTGAACGGTTGTGGCTTAAGTATTCTGTTGAGTGCACACCAAAGAGAAGCACTGCACTCGACTTTCGCTCATCAGCAGCTGTTCTGGCTTAAGTATTCTGTTGAGTGCACTGCACTCGACTTTCGCTCATCAGCAGTATATACACAATGGGCCATGCCGGGATTTGAACTCCGGACATCTGATATGAGAGGCGAGCGCGTTACCACTACTCCACCAACGCACATTGGACATATCTGAATTTTCACGTCTGAATAGGCGAGCGTGTTCACGCATGAGTGATATGATATGTGTGCCCGTACCTCTGAAGTTGTCTATGATTCTTCCCTCTGATTAACCCAATTGATATCAATCCATCACAGGAGTGACATCATGAACCATAAAAGACCCTCCTCCATTGGAGCATTAGAAATAGTGCATTCCTATCCGGTCAGTAACAAACTAAACTACCTATACTGTGCAGATAACGCTCCTTATCATCGTTAAACATCAAACTTCAGTTTGACTTTATATAGACTCGGCCTCGTAGTTCTTGTGCATTCTAGCCAACCGGGACGCTTTTCTCCAGCCTCCATGTATAGAACGCGGAGGACCTCGGAGGACCAGCTGGAAAAAATTTTCGTGACGTTCTTTCCGGTCAGTGTCAGATCCATGCACCGTTTGACAGTCACTGACAGGATCTGTTTCAATCATAATGCTGCAATCCTGAACTGTCAAGTGAAAGTACTGGTGGCTGAACTACGTTTTCCAACCATTTCCAATCAAACAGCCTGAAGGCGATCCAAGCTCGTTGGTTCAAAAATCTGCTGAGCATATTGCTACCAGGAAGCGCTGCTGCATGTCTGTTTCGATTGCTTCACGAGTGGCGTAGGGGGACCTGGCTAGTAGCGTTTCAAGGCCACTAATATACAATTACTTAACATGAGTATCACTTGGTACTGATATGTGTAAGTGAACTAAACGCTTGTTTGAATCGACTGAGTGATGAGGATGAGCCACACGGACTTGTCGTGGCAGGCAGCACAGCCTGAAGGCATGATGGCAAGGCTGACCAATCAGTTAGCGCTAGTACGAAGGCCAACAGCAGCTCAGTCACAGAGGCACCAAAAGAGAATAAAATTACCGCAAGTGTGGTGTCTGAAATCTGTGTGAGCACGTGACGGACAACCTGAAACTAGGTTGTTTCGGGTGAACTCATCTCAGCATGCACACACCCCTATTGTTGTCTGTACGCAGCGTGAAAACGAAGAACAAAACCTGACTGGCCCAGGCGTGATAACTGATGGTGTAACAAAACGACTGTGCATAACAGTCGTTTTTCATCGAACAAAAGGATACGGAGGACTAAAATACGGGGGAACTTCTGAAGGGAGAAATGCTTCGTACATCTCCGCCGTACTTTACAACGACCGCACATCTGGAACGAGGTAATAAGAATCAGTTAATGAGAGATATTGGTCCTGCAGAAAAAAGTCCACACTCCCAACGATAGTACTTTCGACCGAAAATTTGGTCTTACTGTAATTTTCCTTTACTCGGTGGCGGCAAAAAATCAGTGTTCCAATAGGGTGGTATCACAATTTTAGCCAAAATAAAGCTGAAAAAACTTTGCTGGATTCCAGGATAAAGCCAAACTTGTTCCACAACAAGACAGCATTAAGCACCAATCGCTAGGACGAAATATTTTGGGTTATATAGCTGAAGATGACCAAAAACGCGATTATTTGGGATTATCTTTGAAACAAAAGATGGCAAACATTAATTAACAGACTAAAATCACTGAGGCTAACAGGCCCCAGTGTCCTGCGTTCAGAAACGAAGCAACTGAAAGGCCAAGCAAAACTTTAGTTCACCATTCCTCCAGATATTGGTACTCAAGATAGAACACAGTTGTCTCAAAGGATTGCAAGCAGTCCTACACCGAAACCACACCCGAAACTGAATTACGCTAGTTCGTATCGATACTGTACTGTATGCGGTTACCGTACATGTTTATCGGTGCTGAACTTGTATGCAGGTTGAAGAGTTTACGGAAATCGAACCACAAACTTTTTTGGAAAGAATTGATTAATTTCTTCTGTGTTATGAATACAATGGCGATTGGTCATAAAAGCACTGGTTCCAGTTTAGTGGGACAAAGTGATATGGATAGTGGATTGTATCCGGGCGTAAAAAGTGCTATTGAAACCAGTGGATATTTGTCTGTCTCCAATTTTGACGTTCCGAGGAGAGCTTACCAACACTAGGGAAATAAAAAAGACTCACTCAGAGAGGCTCTTTCGCTAAGACACAATGGACTTAATA